CTGTGACTGCTGGATATGGGCACCAGTGACCCACGCGACCCTGAAAAGGAAGTAGCGTGTACAGAAAATGGATGGATGGAGTTTAATCCTGAAGGAAAACTGTCACAAGTTGAAAAGGTTTTAAATTAAAAAGGAATTTCAGGTGACAGTGTTGTTGGAGGAATTCATTTTTATGAAATTAATAATTTTCTTGATAAAAAAGTGATGGGAATAAGGCTGCATGAGAAGAGGTGGTCTAATATAAATATACTTCTGCCCACTCCTTTTGAGTGTATGAAAACTGTACATTTCTGTTTGCTTCAGTTGTGTTCAATATAACTTATTAAAGCTTATTACTTATACCTCATTAAAACAAACAATACAACTACAACATTTCTTCGCTGTGAATTTCATTAAAACATTTTTTCAAATGTATAAATAGTAATATTGGTGACAAAACTAAATTTTGTTTGAATGTCATCTTTCACACATTTATACATGCTTTCAGATTACACACCGTTGTTTGTTTCGAGCGCCTAATGAGCCGCTTGTCAAAGCTTGCTTTGATTCCCGCTTCCAAGTATGAGCGCAAATCTTTGCAAACAAAAGTCACCATGGTCTCTGTTATCCTTGAGTTCTGCAGAGAGTCGGCTGGTAWCYTTAGTGATTCCTTAGTTTCTTTAGTTTTGCTCCAGACAACTTGTTATCGAAAGCCAATGCTAGCACCGAACGTCAACTGGATATAAATATACGSRAAGCCAGGAGTGACAAAATATAGAAACGCATTTCAGACGGGCACAAGACTCCACGGGGAAGAATCAATCTCATGCCCTGTGAATCGATTTTCCCAAATTTAAATTGAATCAATCCAAGATKGATTAAATCAATGTTTTTTACCCAGCCCTAAACATTAATATTGGAGAGCAATATAATTTAAAAAATGAGAACTTTACCTCTTGTTTTTGAACTTAATTGACTTTCACATTAATTTTTCCAGCTCAGTTCCAATAAATTAAACATTTTAGAACATAATTTACATTTTACTCTTTTTAGTTTAAAACAGAGACACAAGTAAGTGTTTTCCTCATTGCCTTTGTTTTAAACTAAACTTTAAGCTAAACTGAAGCAGCACAAGCATGCACAGTAGATCTGCACATGGATCCTGCTCCTTCCTGTCTGTTGACCAATAGGAGAGGAGCTGACCCAAGAAGGGCCGCCCATCTTATTTGCATAATGAGGCAGAAATGCAAAAGGCAATGTAATACAGGACACAGAAAAATGTAAACACATGGAAATAAAAAGATGTGGGGATAAATTACTAAAAATCACTTATAAAAAAGGAAAAGGAAAAACAATATTTTTTAAAAACAGTAAAATGCAAATTATGTGCTAAAATATATAATTTTTTCTAACTGAGCTGGAAAAATACATATGAAGGTCAATTAAATTATAAAACATGAGGTAAAGTTCTCCTTTTTTAATTTAACTGGTGCATTTTAAGAGTATTTATTTATTAGTCTATATATTTCTGCTTTTATTTCTAATTATGTCAGTTTTGGTCCTCCATAGATGGTGTCGGGACAATAGCAGATTCATATATCTGTGTTGGTGCATGGTTAAAAAAATGATTAAACTATAATCAGCTCAAACAGACTTGTTGTGACTTTAAAGCGAATAACTTCCATAATATTCAGACTATACTACATATAAACATGAAACACTATCAGCAAATAAGACACTGTTTTATTTGTTTACTCCAAGAAGCAGGTGAAGTCGTTATTGGTTTAAGCAGAAAATCTGTATAGAAATTCATAATGCAGGGTTCAGTCTGTTACAATTTGTTTTGTGCTTTGTGGCACAATCATATTAAGCCCTGCCTACACACAAGCAGATGGCTGCATGTTTTCATGCACACAAGTCTCATTTAGACACCAAGGGCAACAACACACATCATCTCCCACTAATATCGCAGCGGCGATGAGCAGAAGATGAGGCGCCGACGAGTTTTATCGGTAAAATGAAAAGTAACACGTCGGTTTTACCATTYTTCCCTTTTGTTGCAACGAATAAAACTAAAGACTTGAAATGAGGAGGAACGATCGGAGCGGAGCGTGTTCATCAAGGTCAGGTTAAACACCCACCTGCTCCTGTGCTGCCGTTCTCCAGGTGATCCATCAAGCCGGCGGAAGAGTCTCCCATCACACCGTTCACACACAGCCGGTGGGCCGGCACTTCGACAGGGTGGAGGACTTCTTCATCCCCACCTCCAGCCTCATCATTAACCATGTCAGGTACATGCAGCAAGATGCAAACCTCCTAATGCTCATCCACCCCGGTGGCATTTTACTCACTGCACTGCAAAATCTCAATACTACACTGATTTTTATGGGCTCTGTTTTGCCGTTAATGAGTGTGTTTTCAGATAAACGGCTAGTAGTCATCTTTACTGCAAATGAAACCTGGGGGGAAAAAATTCAATCTGCTTCAGACAAAATTTACTCCTTATGAAGACTTGTAAAGACTAGAAAAGTGCCAGAACAACTGTCTCAACAAACCGGAACATTTTACTCACTGATTATACTGTTTGTAAAAAAAAATAGGTTTGTGTTGCTTCATCTACTGTAAACTTTGACTTCACAACATTTAAGATCTTAGAAAGCATACATTTGTTTACACTTTACCTCTTCAGCCTCAAGGGGTTTTCTTGATGTTTTTTTTCTCTAAATGCCGAAATGTAACAGTGTATTCTCAGCATTTACAAATTCTACTTAAATAATCTTGGTATCAAAATAAAGCTAACTCATGGGAGATTTTATCAGAAGTATTAAAACAGCTGTTTTAGAGCTACCGAGGATGGAACAGATTTTTACCATTTTTCCCCTCCTGCCTGAATATATTTTGCATTAGTCAGTATATAACCTATTTAAAACCATAATGAATCAGGCTAAAAACTCCTGGAAACCATAAATCCACTTGTGGACATTAGCTGTGTGAAGATTCATGCTGCTAAAATTAACCGGAGCAAAGTTAGAGGTTTTAGTAAAATAATAATTTGGTGTTTTGTCATTCTGCACAGGACGGACCATGTTGGTACAATCAATAAATGTTTGGTACAAACATTTATTGATTG